CACCCCGGTCACATACGTGAAAGTCAGTTGCAGTACAGGTTGACGACCCCTGAGATCAAGCAAGGAAACGCAAAGAAAAAGCAGAGATAGTTTGACAGGACTTGCAAAACAGATGGGCCATATACATGCCGAAGATTAGAGGTATTTCTAGAAATTCGAAGATGATAACTTTTCTCCTCGACGATGGGCGGTCGTCTTGGATAGATTCAATTGTATAGTTGACAATGGTCTTTCTGGCAAGTACAAAAAGGGAGCATAGCTAGCTCTTTGGCGAGACACCATTCCGTGTCGGGTGAAGGTGCATATTATCTCCTTACTTTTTGTTGCTGTAGTAGGTAATCCAGCAGCTTTTGGGCTTGTGCCCTTCAGCCCAAAGCCAAGTTAGTATTGATGTAAGTCTTCGACATTTGCTCTCTGCTGCAATATTAGGTATTTTCTGTGGTAGGGCTGGGGGAACTACAGGAGATCCTGTAGTTTGGGACAATCGAAAAACAGCTGTTGAACTGCTCTGAACATATATCTCATGATATCCCACATAGCCCACGGCCTGCCGTTCCTGATGAGTCCTTGAATACAGGCCTTAATTGCAAACGTTCTACGTACCAAATTATGAGACAATGACTCTTCTTTTGTACGTTCTCAGACGCCCGTCCATCGACGTGGAGAGAATGGTGGTTCCTGAGCCAGAAGAAGTCGTGCAGAATGGATGGGCGCTGAGGTGGGCTATTTGTCTCCCTATGTGTTTGAGAAATTTGACCATTATCGTGTTGATTCACTGTTAAGGGTATACGATGTTATACAGAAATATACACACCGCTGGGCACACAATGTTTATTATCGTACTTCATGTACTTTAAAAACGAACAAACCTGGTGGTCAAGTAGACAGAAACGTAATGAAGGGTCTTTCTCTGAGGGGGCTTTTTCTATCATAAAAGGGCATAATAACACGGCAATATCTTGATAGTTCTGATGCTTCTGAAAATAATCCAAAATAATTGAACCGAATTATCTTCACTGTCATTGTATTTTTTTACGTCTCTTCTCTATCTGCACAATATAGATCGTTTAGAAGGTAGACTATTTCGATCCAGCCTGCCTGGGACAATCAGGGCCAAGAGAGATACAACATCCTAACGATCATTGGGCATCTTTTCTCGCTTTTTCAACATTTAGAATTTGAATATCAATAAAATTATATCCTAGCACATGCAACCGTCATATCAACAGCTTACCAACGGTACATTCTTGTGTGAAATTTTAAAGAAAGCTGGGTAGTGTAATTGTGTAGACCTACATTTTTTTTCCTAGCTCCTGTTTTTCCTTTCTCACAGGTCAAGGGGAAAGAACTCTATGACAGGATCGCTACTGTCTCTGTTCCCGTTCCGTCACCTCCGGCCTCACGGGCAAACAGACTCACGAGACACTCTGACGTCACACGATAGTGGACGTTACCTGTCCGTGCCCAATGGCAAACTTCGTTATCGGCCAGTCCCGCGAGGGGAGGCGGGGGAAGACGAAGGAGAGGAAGACCGCAGGCCATCCCTCAATTTGCCGGTAACGCGCATGGCTGACTTAGAAGACAGACTGGCTGTGCTTCAGGTGGTGGCATTAGGACTAGCTGCTTATTAACTGGCGGTAGATGTGGTTGTAGACGCTAATCATCCATCCATCCATCCATCCATCCCTCCACCCATCGATCCACATATCTATCCATAAATCTATACATCAGTCTCTCAATCGTTCAGTCCATTCATCCATCCAGGCATCTGTACATCCATCCATTCATCCATCTATACACCAACAAGCCACTCACTCACTCACTCACTCACTCACTCACTTACCCACTCACTCACTCCCTCACTCACCTTAATGCATTATTTTCTGTGCTTCAAAAGTTGACAGACACAGAAGCTTTTGCTTATAATGGATTTCATCTGATGCTTGCTTGATTCTCGCATGTGCGCGCGTGCTTGTATGTGCTTGTATGTGGGTATGACTGCGTACGTGCATGCGTTTGTTTGATTGTGTGTTTGGGTGTGTGTATGTGTGTGTTGTGTGTGTATGTGTGTGTGTGTGTGTGTGTGTGTGTGTGTGTGTGTGTGTGTGTGTGTGAAATTGTGAGTTGGTGTGTGTGTAGACATGCTGTAGTGTCAACCTCTGTTTGCCTCGATCAGTTGAAGTTGAACTGCGCTAAATGTGTTTATTATTTTCAGAAATACTCCAAACCACGGAATAACAATAATGCAGGTTGTTGATTATAGTGGCCTCCTTTTTATTCTCGCTCACAACGTAGAATAAGGAATACACCCTGACTAATCACCTCTATCACGTGTAGCTCTAACATAGTTTGCCATGGTTGTCAGCTTGCATTTGATGTTTCGATTTTTAAACACTTTAAACACTTTAACATTTTATTTTCCTCATCAACTCAGCTGAACATAGGTAGTTTTCAAAAGGTAGGGGGCAGAATGGATTAATGATAGCAGTTACGCTCTTCACCGTTGTACTCAGAAATAAGAAGTTCGATTCTCGAATGGGGATGCTCTTTTTTTACCAAGTATCTCGGTTTGCCTGCTGGGATATTTTCCCGACTCAGTCCGGGTTAGCATCAACTGGCAGGGTCTAATTACACCACAGCCGAACTATTCTACATTGAATCAATGTTGGTGTATCCCATTTACAATAAACATTATAGATGATGCTAGTAGTATTTTCCTTGATGGTTGCTAAACAGTATGTTCCGGGTCTCAGACGGTTAATTTTGAAGAAATTGGGAACTGCAGTCGAACTTGTCCAAGATGGCCACCTACTGTGGGGAGGGGGGGGGAAGTGGTTGTCTTTGACAGGTGAACATCTCGAGGAGATTCATTCATTATAATATAAAACAAAATACAAGGCGGAAGTGGGATGTGGTTGTTCGTACTAATCATTTGCCTTGGACATGTGGCTGTTAGAACAAAAGCCGTGCACTGAACTGTTGTGAGTGCAACCAACTTGTGTTTCGCGCGCTCATATAACCTTATGCAGTTGCGAGCGCCGTAAAACTCCTAAAAAAGAAAAACAATATTAGAACAGGTTCGACTACTTGTGAAGCTGCTCGAGCCTACCATTATGGAGAGGATGCGCTTTCACTCTTTTTCTTCCTCGCGGCTGGTTGCAGTGCGCCACTGGAAAGTCCATCTTCTTTCCTTTCGATCTCTTTTTTTTCTGTCAACCTTGCATTTCCCCCGCACAAAGTGAGCGTTATTATGTGTATGCACTTCTGTGTACAGTAACATACAATTTTCGTACACTTTCCTTGATTACTCGGAAAAAGTAAAGTATAAATCTCCATGATTTCGTGAATCACAATTAAGGACACAGACCGTTATTTCCTGTTCCTTTAAGGTACAGTAAAAACTCCACTGTGACCCTGGGGGTGACCCGAATGTTGTACATGAGGTCAAAGCAGAGTCATGAGGGGCTATACTTTACTGTACCCACTCTGTCCCTGATAACAATAACAAATTGCACGTACATAGCGAATTTCCACTAAGAAAGCGCCCGGTGCGTTTAATAATAATACAAATAACATAGTTCTTAAAAGTAATAAAGTGATAGTTTCATCCCCTCCCCATTCTCTCTCCGTGTCTGCCTGTCTGTCTGTCTGTCTGTCTGTCTGTGTGTGTGTGTGTGTGTGTGTGTGTGTCTGTCTGTCTGTCTGTCTGTCTGTCTGTCTGTCTGTCTCTTTCTCTCTCTTTCTCTCTCTTTCTCGCTCGCTCGCTCGCTCA